TGTATCGAAACGAGTAAAAAATATAATTTCTAAGAATACCTTAGAATGCACAACACCAAATTGCACCATCCCCCTCTATAAAAACGTCCCCACATCCGAGTCATTCACTTTGCTACGACAGAAATCCTGGACCAGTGCCTACTGACCAGGACCAGTACTTCCTCAGCGGCACTGGTCCTGCTGGACCAGTGCCTCCAATTATCAGTTTTCCACCCTGTGGAAAGCAAAGCGATATTGCAAAAAATGAGTTGCTAAATTGAAAAAAAAAACAATGCACCACATAGATGTGATTTACTCGTTATTATTAGAAGAGAAAATCTTCGATACGAAAGAACTTGGAAGAGACTGAAATTGTAACTGCTCAAGGGGAACAGGAAGAGGCTCTACCAGATGAAGAAGCAACCACTGCTAAAGTTAAAAAGAAGAAAAAGAAGGAAGGTACGCAAGATAATTTGCTACTCAAGATTGTTACCATTTTACTACTCTCAACCCACAGGGTATTTCATCAAAAATGGTGCCTTACTTGTTAAGAAGAACATCATCAGATAGTAATTTTTATCATTGTGTAGAAAAGGTTCCTCATCGAAAAGATAGTCATTATGAGGATCCTCTACCTCATCATTACATCGTAGTTGTTTTATTTTCCTATATAAACAGTGCGGCTTGTCGAGCCTGGGGAAGAAACGGCTGCTGCGGCTGCTGCCAGCAGTGCTGCTGCAGAGGACACGAGCCCACAGATAGCAGACGATGGCCGGGTGCTGAGTGTAACCATTCACAAAACAGATAGACTTCAGACAGACTTTCTTGTCTCCCATCCTCTTGTCAAAGTGCATGTGATAGATGGAGCTACTGGACAGTATATGAAGAAGTTCAATAAGTGGGTTATCAATATTTATTGTTTGTTCATAATGAGATTTGTCTCTAGATATATGGAACACAGAATCAGATTAGGATTCAGAATATCAGTATCGACTCAATCTAGTCATAAGGAGGAATATATATTTATTCATATCATTAAATAGCATGCATGCCAAGAAAACACATATAGAGCAAGATGTGTATTAAACAGTAAAATATGTTGTATTAAATTACAATTATATAGCACTTGCTACTAGATATTTTTCTATGTAAGTAATTTTACATTTTATTTCCATCTTCTGTTTTCAGGGAAAGGTCTGTCACTTCATATTATGAGATGCAGAATCGAACTGTAGACCACATTCTGCCAATTGCGACACAGCCTTTTGACTTCAAAATACGAAAGTAAGATCATACTATTTATTGGCTAAGATAATATAAGATAAGATAAGGCACATGTTTTATATGCAAGAAATGGCAATACTTCATTATGGCATTCTACATGTGACGTCTGGGAGTATCTCTTGTTTAAGGATACACTCAGGGTTACAGACAGGTACCCGGGCTATGAAGGGCACTACAATATGACTGCTCATTAAATCCAATCAAACACACATCTATTTAATAACCGAGGAGTCGCTCTACACTCACCATGGAAATTATCACAGAAACCTCATCGCTAATTACGTGACAGCACAAATTGTAAATTATATGAAAAAAATGCTTTTATCAACATTTCTCAGAAACAGCAAAGGGCTGGAACCTAAATGTTTAGCCATAAGTTGTTCATAGTATGCACTAGTAAAGGGTCCATGGAATTTTAAGAAATAAATTGAAAAGATGCACGAAAATCTGTAATGTTTTTATGACACAACAATAATGTAAATAAAGAGCCAAAACTTCTAAAATATAATCTTTCATAAAAAATCCAGAGAGCCCTTTACTCCATTATGTGTTAGCATTGAAACAGAACCAAAATATTTCGAATCGGAGTTGTGAGTTCTGAGAATCGATATTGAAACATCAGCCACTGCAGCATTAATAACAACATTAGAGTTGTGTATTTAAAAGGCAAACCGAGGCTTGCACAGCCAGGTTGGCATACAGAGGCGATTTTGA